CGGCATTCCATATATATAAAGGTTTACACCTAACTTGGTCCAAAGTGCTTGTTTTTAAACCATTCTGAAGAGATTTTTCCAAAATATATACATATCTTTTTCCGCTGATACTGTGTTTGTTTAGATATTTTCTTGATGGCTTAGTGTTGACTCTCTAACACCAATTCTTAACTTTCAGACGAGCCTCCTAAATACACTGAAATGTTCAGGGCCATTTGTCCTCAATCTAAACGGCTTAAGATTTTATGGCTCTGGGGATTCTTATATCTGCCTCTTATGATTTTCCTCCCTCTACCTACAGTCACATGCTGCTGCTCTCATGTGAATGCCAGCTCCTATGAATAATAGTAGTTATATTACTAACCAGTGTTTGTATAATGGTTCAAAACTGACACAGAACTTTCACCCGAGTATTGTTTTGATCTTCACAACAATCCTGTGAGAATAAGTAAGCTTTCATAGTAGTTATATACAAGAGCATATATGCTCAATGTTCTTTATATAAAAAAATACATACACTTTAATGCTTTGATGCTCAATTTGGGCTACTGAGAAATCCCCTTTATTTTGTTCTACTAGGAGACACACTTCTATATTTAATACCATTTTCCTTGTGTTTTTTGTTTGTAGTTATCTTAGAAACTGAGCATTTGAAATTAATTAGACAGCGTTGCTTAGTTATGCCAGAAGCAAGTACATTAAGAAATCATATTAACCTGATAAACTAGACACATATGTTGCAAATATGATAGAGGCAGAATTATTAGTTTCAGCAGTTTTTATTTTTAAACTTGCTATTTCAATCTGTCCAAAAGAATGCACTACATTAATTATGTCAAGTCTTTTTATTGTGAAGCCTCATTAATTGTAAAAAGCAGGAAAATATAAAGAAATGAGCTGTTCTCTGACGTTAAAAAATTTGTACTAAGTTCATATGCTTTAAATCTCCCTCCTTCCAAATATAATTATATTTTAAAATTATTGTCCATGTTCATCTGTGAATGAGGCCAACTGAGCTATAATTTGGGGTTTAAAAAAGGTGAAAAAAATCATTTATAGAAAAAAAAAAACAGTGGCAGTAGAGAAAGCTAATTCCATCCAACTCAGTAACAATAATTTATACACAAAAGGTCTAATTCCATACCTACACTTTTGTCAGAGATCCCAATCAATAAAAATCCTTAAAACACATATGAAGAGTGTAAATTGTTTCTCGGATTATTAACAGGCTGTGTTGAATTCAAGCGCAAACACCACTTACGTCTGACAGTTAAAAATCTGTCAGTAGTAGGTCAAGGAATATTATTTAATACTGTCTGTAACAAGTGGTTGAAATAATAACTTTTCATAAGAAATATTCATAATGTGCTAATGGTATACAATGATTAATAAATATATAGTTCCATATAATAGTTAATACTATCACAATAACAATTATTATTATACCTGCTGCTTTATCCAAAGCCTTATTTACATTGACAAACACAGGTCTCAACAATCTATATAGTAGTATTTGTTACTCTCACACAGTGCTGGTGAATCATATTAAATTCCTTTGTGAAGAGAAAGTAGTAAAAGCAAGCATTGTAAAGGGAAGGATATCAACAACCAGGGAAAGCTGTTAGTTTTAGGTTATGTTGTTTAGTACTTTCCAGGTACTCTTTTATCTGCAAATCGTCTTAGTTATGGAACAGGTGCCTTTAAATGGGTTAATCTTACTTCACTCTTTGCAAGCTCATTTACCACTTATAAATGCAGATTCCTCGTGGAAGGTGGTTTTCATCTCATTTGCAGAAGCATCTGAGGTTGCATGTCCCAGGTTTTTAAAAACTCTTTCACTCTCCTGCCACGTCTGTTGAAAATTCCTCCTGAGTTCTGTAGGTGAATCAGAAACATCTAAAATATGGCCAGCGATGACATCCTCATAGGTTGGTGGGGCGTGCTTGAAGTCAAAGCCGGATCTTCCAGCTTCTGAGCCTTGTGATGAAGAGACCATCATCTTCGACCCAACAGCTTGACTCTCAAGTGCATCCACACCTGAGAAAAGTTCACTTAGAGATCTTGTTTCAGAGCAGATGCTGGGCGGCTTAACAGGCATCGTTTCTTGCAGCTCTCTAGGATGACTGTGAGAAAAGCCGGTAAAGCTAGCGCTTTCTAAAGATGTTAATCCAAATTCCTCCTTACAAAACGTACGACTTTCTTGTTTTATATTATGGTTTGCTTCTCCATTTGCATAAACTCTTCTACTTGACTTTGCGTCAAAACCTAGGCCATCCTCAAATCCCCTGAACCATCTGTTTATTTCATTTTCATGGTCATTCATGACATTTTCAGCCATTTGAGCAGTCCGGTTGGCGGGTTCATATCTCTGCATGTGCTCTGATAGGTGAGGTTTTTCGACTTTGCGGATGATTTCGACTGCGTCAAAACTCACAGTATCTGGCACTATGCGCTTAGTGGAATTTACTCCATCTTTGTGAACGTAAGCCGCCCTTTCCCCTACTTTCCTTTCTTCCTCTTGAGCTTCCATGGATTCTCTGAAGGAACCACTATCAGCGTGATTTACACTTATAGGTATTGTGATTGTAGGTGGAGGGTCCCTACCACGAGCCTCTATCTTAATTTGACGACGAAGTGTTGCAGGAGATGTGATGATCTCAGTCCTCTTCTCTACAATGGGAACCGGGGTTATGGATGAACCTGGGATGGTCCCCCTCGATAACTTCGCAGTGGTGTCTTTGAGTTTGACAAGCTGTTCAGAGTGACTCTTGGGTGGAGACGGGGAGGTCTTTGCTCTGAGAATTCTAGGTGGCTGTGACACAGGTCTTGGTGATGGTTCAGCAAAACTGTCCTTTTCAGAGGACTGGGAAAGCTCATCCTTAGCAGAGGTTTCTGTTTGCCGTGCAGTAGACTCGATTGTTATGAAAGTTGGTGATGGCGGGCGTGTTTTTAAAGAGGGAGCAGAAGCCTTGGCATCAGCTAGTTTAATTTCCTGATGGGTTTTCACATGATGCTGAGCAGTTGCTTCTTGATGAGTTGCTACTTGGCGGTGCTCTGTTTTTTCTACAATTGTATTTTCTTTCCGCTCAGTGTCTTTATTATAGCTGACATCAGCATTAGACACTTTAGATAATGTTTCATTAACACCAGTAGCTTTATTTCTCTGCTTTCCTGCTTTAGAGGATATCCTGGCTGTTTGGATTATATTTTCACAGGACACAAGCATATCCTCTGCCTGAGTTTTAATGTGCATTATTTCTTCTTTGATTTTTTCTATGTTATTCTCCATAGCAATGCGAACTCCGTGTTCTCTTTTTTCTTCACTTAATAGCCATACTGGGATAATATTTAAGAGCATCTGAAAGGTTTTAAGGCCATTTTTATTGGGCTCTGCTTCAAACTCTTTTACCCTAGACAAAATCTGTTGTAGTTCTTCACGTTTTCTCAAGAATTCCAATATATTTACAGCACATTTTCCATCATCCTGCTGGGATTCTCTCACAGAGGAAAATAAAGATTTGTCCTGTGTAATCTCTTGCTTTGAATCTTTAGTGTTAGAAAAGACTTGTTTCTGTTGTATGCCCTTGACGCCAAGACATTTTTCTTCCTGCAGATTATTACATGGCTGGGGCAATTTTTTATGTTCACCTTGACTTTCAGAAGTCTGTATATATGTTTGGTGAAAATTCTGAGTCTGTGAATCAAGATGTGCATCAGTAACCTTTTGTTTGACTACCTTCTGGGCTGATTTATTCAAATGTTCTTGTTTTCTTTCAACTACTAGTTTTTCTTTCTTTGGACCAGTCATTGGTGGCCCCGGAATTGTTTCTTCACTTCCTGGAAGTTTCCCACTCTCAGATTCTCTAAATTCTTTTTGCTTCTCATGAAATATATTGAGCTTACTTTCATGGCTTTTCTCTGTGGATTCTGTAGGCAGTTTTACTGTTACTGTCTTCTCTTTCGTAGGTAACTGATAATATTTTTCAGCCACCAATTGCTTATTGCTACATTCAGTCCTTGCTTCTGTTTTCTCGGTTTCCTGGTACTGTTGTTTGGTAATGGTTTGAACATCAACTTCAGCTTGCTTTTCATGGCTTTCATAGCTGTGGGTTGTTTCATTTAACTTACGGTCTAGAGTTGGAAGCTTGATGGTTTTAACTTTGAAACTGGGGGAAACTGGTTTGCTTTGGGGCAAGTGCAACTGCTCCAGATACTTCTTCTGTTGTGTTTGCTGTGTCCTACATTCTTGGTGACTCTGTTTAATTTCACGAGCTGATTTAGATTGGATCATGTCCCTTGAGCTCTGCAAAACTTCCTTTTTCACGGTATCTTTGTCTTCTGAGGCTGTTGGAACATGTTGGAGCCTCTTGGCAGTGAATGTCACTGCTGGTGTTGTGGAAAGCTGGTTATCGGTACACACTCCTAGTACTTGAGAAAGACTTTGGGAGACTGGGTTGGTTTGGGCCACAGTGACCCCTGAATCCATTCCAGCTAGGGGGACCTCCTCCTTTGTTTTTTGTAACAGCACTTCCTTTTTCAACTCTGATATGTTTTGATTTTGGCTTTCTGTTTTGACTAGCTTGTAGCAAGGACTCTCCTGTTTTTTCTGTTTTTCAAGTTCTTCTCTTTGTTGTCTGTATTTTTCTTCAGCAATCATTAAAGGCGTCTTAAATTTTCTCATATAAGGTTTTGGACTTTGCTGTCCTGAACCTGCTGGAAATGAATGAGATTTTACGAGAGGTGCTATCAGTTTTTCCTTGGGTGGTGAAGTTTCTGGAACTGTCTGTGGGAGAGACCTTGTAGAGTCCATAGATAATTGTTTTCTCTTATCAAGACTTTTTCTAGATACGTTCTGCTTTGTCTCTATGTGTTCACTGCTACTTGCCATTATTACTCTTTTCTGATCCTTTGAGGGAGTAATTTTACATTCCATATTTGGCGGTGAATTTTCCAATTCAACTTTTGGGGAACTATGATTCTTCTTATCTTCTATCTGCTTGGGAAATTTGGGTTTGGGGAGTGTGGGAGGTGGCAAACGTCCTCCAGATTTTCCTGTTATGATTTTAGCCTGAGAGCTTGAGGCTTCTTCTTGGGAATATTGTATGAATGCTCCACTGTGCTTTTCTTGAACAGAAGAGGAAAGGAGATGTGCTGGTTTTAGAGATGGAGCTGGCGGAGGGGGAGGTGGTGGAAACATTGCTAGACATTCTCTTTCAAACTTCTCATCTTCTGGTGGTGGAGGAAGAGGGAGGCCTGGGAAATTCTCAAATTCAGCCTTTATCTTCTCTGTGGACAGTGAGGGAAGAAACACATTTTTTTCAGGCAACATCATGAAAGGAGGTGGAGGAGGAAGAGGAAATTCAATTTCAGCTGATGAATTGGAAGGTAGAGGAGGAGGTGGAGATGGAGGTGGAAGAGGGAACTCACTTTCTTTTGCATTATTTTCAGGGTTACAGTTGATTGGATTAAAGGACATTTCCATTGCCATTTTTAAGTCTTTGGAAGTATTTGTCTTCCTTAGAAAGTCCTGGCTTTTCAGATGAATATCAGTCTGCTTTTTGTCAGTTGCCTTAAATGTATTGTGGCTTTTTTGGGCGACTTTCACTTCTGTTACATTTGGCATGTCTTGATCCACAGGCAAAGTCTGCCACACTGGTTGAGGGGTCACGTTCTTTTTCTTTATATCTTTATTAGAATATTGCATTTCTTGCTTTAACAGAGTCTGCTTCTGAAAGTCCTCTGAAACTTCACATGTTTCTCCAGCCATCTTGTTGACTGGACCCTGGGTTAAACTGGGCTCAGAGCTTTGTGTATCTGTTGATGTTTTAGTGTTTTTGCCATCTTTAGGACTCTTGTCAGGGAAAGCCTCAATCTCCTGGTGGTCATTCCTCACTTCACAAGTTCCAGTCTGTTGCTTTCCAATTGTTTTGTCAATAGATTGGGTAAAGACAGCATCCTTCTGTTCTCTCACTGTCTCTGATTCCTTGGTTTCTAGATGTTCCCTAACTGACACAGTTGAAGTCAGTAGTCCACTCACATGTTCATCTCTAAGATGTTGCTCTGTTGTGTTATCAGTCCAGATACCCATTCTGTCTCCTGATTCCAACACATTTTTAATAGCTTTGTGGTGTGAATTAGATAGCCTTCTAAGGTTTTTCTCAAGAGCATCATTGTTTTGTTCACGATCTATGACAATCTTTACGGTGCCCTTGGGGGCTTTTGGAAGATTAACCTCAGTTCTTTCTTCTCTTAAATCCCCATGCCGAGATTTGCCTATAGTTTGATTAAGAATGTCTGTTCCCCCCTGCCAGCTGGCTGCCGGCTCAAATGGTCCTGGTCTTGGCTGAAGAACACTTTTTTTGTCGCTCTGTTCAGCCACCTGATGATTCTCGGTTTTCTGCTCTTCCTCAGATCCTACCATCACAGACTGCACATCTTCATTGATTACACTTCTTTTATTTACCTCTTTGAAAGCTCTTTGTGCTTCTTTTAGGTTCCTTAATGATGCTTCAAGGTCATCTCGGATAAGCTCCTTTTTCAGGATTTCCATCCTTGTGTTCGCAGTCTTTTCAAGGCATTCAGTAGCCTTCTCTGTATCCCCAGGGATGACATCAGGCTGTTTAGATTCTTTCCATTTTTGACTTGATTCCTTAAGTGACTTGAGTGTGGCCAGCATGTCACCTTTTATAATTTCTTCTGTTTTAGCCACTGTTTTCTGACTTATGGCCTGGCTCAGGGAATTTAGGGTTGACTTCAAATCGCCTTTTATGATTTCTTCTTTGGGTAACTTACAAGATGTACTCTGAGGCTCTGTCAGAAAAACCTTAACTGTATTATGCACATCTCCTGGGATGATGTCAGTTTCATTAACAGTACGTTCAACCTGAGATTGCCTTTTCTTTAATAACAGTTTTGTACCTTCTATATCGCCACCAATTACATCTTCCTCTTTTTCTTGTTTCCTAGCTGTTAGTGTTTCATTTGACCATGTCTGGAGCTGTCTGAGATAATCCAAAGCTCCAGTTTCTATGCATGTTGTAAAAAACTGAACATTTCCCCTCTCAGAGGCATCAATTTTAGCCCTTTCAGATATTTTATTGTTTGATATGGAAGATAGCAAATTATGAATGGTACGTTTTACATCACCCCCTATTACTTCTTCACGCTTAATTGTGTCACCAGCATTTTCATGAAGAAGACAATAGATAGTCATGTGAACATCTCCTCTTTCATCTTCCTGAATCAAAATGCCTTTCTTTACAGATGCTTCCTCGGAGAACAGGTTTTTTATTGCTTGTTGGACATCACCACTCACTATCTCTTCTTTCTCAGCATGAAATTCTGTTGATCTGTTTAATAATTGAGCTTTGGTCAAATTAACGTTTCCCTTCTCTTCTTCACTAACCAAAATCTCTCTTTTCTTACAGTCTCTTTTGGAAAGTAGCTTCACCATTATACTTCTGAGGTCAGCCCTGAGGATTTCTTCTTTCTGTATCTCAGGAGAGGCTTGATTCAGGAGCTTGTATTTTGCCATTCGAACATCCCCAACTTCGTCAGCTTCAATGATGATTCCAGGAGCCTCAATAACTTTTTGAGAGTAGAGTTCTTCTAAGGTTTCTTTAATGCTCTTGCCAATAACTTCCACCTTTTCTACCCTATTTTCAGTAAATTCATGAAGGGGTGTAGTTTCAAAGAGCCATGTAGTTGTCTTGACATCAGAAGGAGGGATTTCTTCCTTGGTGATTTTTGTGATGCTTTCATCTGCTTCCTTAATAGAATCTAAAGTTTGGTTTTCAAAAAGCCATACTGCCTGCTTCACATCACCTTTCTGCATATCTTCCTGGCTGACTGTTTTGATATTTTCATATCCTGACCCTTCTCCTCTCAGCTCATCTAGAGTGTGGGTCTCAAATAGCCAAGTAGATGTTTTAACATTGCCCTTTTGTATTTCATTGACACTTACTGTTCTTATATAAGTCTTCTCATCCAAATTTTCAGACTCAAAGAATTGTTTACTTGTCTTTACAACCCCACCTTGAATGTAGTCTACAGCGGGCACAATATCATGTGGTTCTTTTGCAATCTGGTCCAGTGGCTGGGTTTCAAATCTGTATCTGACAGAACTAACATCTCCCTTCTGAATGTCTTCTTGTGTGACAGATTTAATAACATACACAGTCTCTGAGTCATTAATGGAGTCTAATGGTTTCGTTTCAAAAAGCCACCTTGTCCCTCGTACATCTCCATGAATTACCTCTTCCTTTTTAACTGTTGTCACTTCATGATAAAACCCCTCTCCATCTTGAATTGCATAGAGTGGCTGGGTTTCAAAGAGCATTCTGTAGCTTTTTACATCACCCTTTATTGCTTCGTCAGTAATTGTTTTCTTGGTGCTAATATAGTCAGATTCTTCTTTAATCTCATCTAAAGAAAAAGTCTCAAAAATAAAGCACCCCTTTCTTACATCTCCCCCTTGTATGTCTGTCACTGTCTTAACTAATTTATCACCTTCTTGGCTTTCTTTTATCATATCAATTGGTTGGTTTTCAAAAAGCCACCTGCAATTTAAAACATTGCCTTTCTGAATATCTTCAGTCTTTAGGGTTTTGATCTTTTTCAAAACTTCCTCTGAACTGGAACTTATAGAATCTAAGGACTGACTTTCAAATTTATGCCGCAGGCTGGAGACATCCCCCGCTTGGATGTCCATCTCCACGGCCTTGATTTCCTTTCCTTCTCCTTTTATGCTGTCCAAATTTTCTGTCTCAAAAAGAAAGCATGCTGTACGAACATCCCCACCATGGATTTCCTCCTGTTTTACAGTTTGCAATTTGACTGTTGCTTCGGAGTCATCTTTTATGGAATCAAGTGACTGAGTTTCAAAGAGCCAAGTACAGGCTTTGACATCTCCCTTATGAATTTCTTCACTGCCAGTCATTAATGAAACTTTTTCATAAAGAGACTCCATTGGCTGGGTTTCAAAAAGCCATCTACAGGTTTTGACATCCCCTTTAATAATATCTGTAGCTTGTTCAGTTTTACTTTCTACTTCTTCCATATTACTAAAATATTTAATCGCCTCAAGAGGTTGGGTTTCAAACAGCCACTTAGCAGATTTCACGTTCCCAGTCTGTATTTCCTGAGCAGATATTCCTCTAATTATCTGAAATTTATGAATGCTTTCATCAAACTGGTCAATGGGCCTTGTTTCAAAAAGCCACCTACAGCTTCTTACATCCCCTCTTAGGATTTCTTCTTGCTGGACTGTCTTTACTTGATGATATTTTCCAAGGTGATCTTGAATGGCATACAATGGTGTTGTTTCAAAGAGTGATTTATTTAACTCCACAGCACCTCTTGTGACTCCTTCCACCTCTATTTTATCCGATGCCTCAAATTTAATTAAGTTGTTTGATTCAAAGATACGTGTGTAATTCCTTACATCTCCTCTGTCAACTTCTTCAAGTTTCACTGTTCGTATGTACTCTTTTTTATCTTCTCTAATCTCTTCCAGAGGTTGGGTTTCAAAAATCCATTTCTGGTGCCTAACATCCCCCTTTTCTTCTTCAGAAGTAGTAATTTTTTGAAGTTTTCCAACATCAGGGCTATCTTTTAAAGCCTTTATTGGAAGTGTTTCAAATAAATGCTTAGTAGCTTGTACATCACCCCCTATTATCTCTTCAGACCTTAGAGGGTCTGCGTCAGGAACTTCTTTTAGAATATCTAATGGCTGTGTTTCAAACATCCAGCACTTTCTAGAGACATCTGTACCTATTACTGTTTCCTTTTCAATGATGACCTCTTCTGACTCTTCTTTGATTTTCTCCAAAGGCTGAGTTTCAAATAACCACTTTGCCCTACTCACCCCACCTTTGACATTTTCTTCCATGGATATTCCTCTGATGACTTTAATTTCTGTTATATCCTTGTTAATTGTGTCTAAGGGCTGTGTTTCAAACATCCAACGTGCTCTTCTCACATCCCCCTTTTCAACATCTTCTCTGTGAACGGTTTTAATTTCTAGCATTTGACCTGAACCATCTCTAATAACATATAATGGTTGAGTTTCAAAACATTTTATACTTCTCTTAACATTTCCCTTAATTTCTTTGAGCTCAGACCTGAGTTGCAGTAGGTCCACCTCATCTACTGAGTGAAGGTGTCTAAGTTGATCCAGATGTTGAGTTTCAAACATGTATCTCACAGTCTTGACATCCCCCCCAGTTATGTCCTTTATGGCAGTTACTATTGATTCTTCTTGACTTTGATGCATTTTATGCATTGAGTCTAATGGCTTTGTTTCAAACATCCACCGCGCTGTGCAGACATCTCCTCTGGCTAGCTCAGGAATTTTCTCGGCATTTTCTTCAGTGCCAGAAGAATGATCCCCCAGAGTATCGATGGGTTGGGTTTCAAACATCCATGTTGTATATCTCACATCACCACCAGCAATGATTTCTCGATCAGCAATGCCCTTGGAGATGTTATCTTCATCTGGAGAGTCATTGTTAATGGAATCTAATGGCTGATTCTCAAAGATCCATCTCATGGACTGCACGTCCCCCTTCAGAATTTCATCCCACTCCAAGTGTTCTCTTTCCGAGTTCAGACCTTTTTGAGAACTGTCATTCGTATTTTCAAAAACATACCGGGCTTGTTGCACATCTGCTGAAACTGAGCTCCCCAGGTTCACTTGACGAGAAACAATCTCAGAAACCTCACTGATATAATCTTTTTCTAAGTTTTTTCTTAACTCAGGATGGATGTGTTTATATAAACGGTTTAATTCATACAAATTTCTTTGCTTGGAGTATAATTCTTTGGGGACTGGTGGTATTCTAGGAGGGCTGGGGAGTTCAGGGGACTGGGAAAATGCTGTCACATCTATTGGAGTTTGAAGTATGTCGGGTGGGGGAGGAGGAAATTCTTCTGCCTTTTCCGAAGAAGTGGCATTAACTTGTGCCAGAGTCGAGGAAGTGGCACTGTGGTCACTGTATCTTGTGGTTGATGTTTCCTTCCTCTGGCTGGTTGAAGTGGGAGAAGTGGAAGAGGTACCCACAATTGATGATGGCTTTAAAGTCTCTTCATATTCATTTTCAATCTTTAAGGGAGAGAAAATCAAATCTTATAAAGATGAGTGTAGTGGTGGAGACTTTTTAGGCACTGCCCTTCACCTGTCCACCTGCTATGACATCTGCACTGGGAACAATGGGTGGTATACTCCATTTAGAGACCTACTTAGGAGCAACAGTCAGTATTTGTCACTATCTTCCCTATAATCTATTTGCACTTTTTAGAGTTATATTCCCTATTCAATACATCAACGACTCAGTATTTTAACATTTACACGTAATCTTGATTATTTTTCCTCCTTTACGTAATGCGCTACGCAGAGTAATCTAGAGGGAAACAATAAAAGTCTTAAAGGACTTTTGAGGGTTGTTTTGTTTTCCCTGGAATTTTAAACAGAACAGAGTAAGTAGCTGACATTTTTAAATTGGCTTTATTACTTTAATGTTAGATATTAAACTTTAGTGCATACATAAGTTTTTCTTCCCTAATTTTCTCTAGTGAGAAAAGTTTTCTTTCTACTGCTTTTCTCATATAGAATAATATTCTTCTTACGGAACAGAATAAGCACTGGCTCTGGATATTTTTTGTTGTTGCTGAAAAACCACCTCAAAAATTCAATAATTTGAAAATGTTATGTATTTATATCTGGTTTTACACTTAATATGTCTCTGTGCAGAGAAATTATCTTACCTTAATCTGCTTGGTTGGGGTCGTCTCTTTGTCAGAATAAAGGACCTTTTCCTGGGCAGACTTTTCAAATTGTTCTTTTAAAAACTTAGTTGAAACCTTTGGAATCTCTTCATCCTCAGGTGTATCTATGACTACAAACAGAAAACAACACCAGGGATATTATGTAACTAATAAACATGATGTTTGAGAAGACATTATAATGCTATGGAAAACTTCTCATAATGTAAGTTAAGTAATAATATTCAGGATATAAATGTATACATATGGCAGTATTTCATTATGTAAGTTAGTATATGTCAAGAAATATAGGAAGAAAAATGGTGGTGATTATCTCTGGATGGAAAGTCATAAGTAATGAAAGTGCTGTTTATTTTAATTGTATGTATTTTCCAAATTTTCTACAAGCATGTTTTGCTGTTATGCCCAAAAAGAATAATAAAAGTTATAAAACAAGAAAAGAGCAGTAGAAGAACAGAAAAGGAAGATCTACTTCTTTAAGCAAAACTAAAATAAAACCAAATTCAGATATGGTCAAATAACATTTGGGTCACAGTTGGCTTAAATCTACCCTTTTAGTACTTTGGGTCAGCAAAACTTCTCATTCCGCTTTTATAGGCAAGACACCCTGTACCCATCTTATGCAAACTTGCGCAGGTTTGTCTGTAGTCTAATCTCATATCTGTGGGTTGGAGAATTAGACTTAAACGTGCTTAACTTTGTTATTAAAAGTAATACAATCTAGATAACTTTTCTGTTCCCAGGGAGCTTGATAACATCAAGTTTTATTCTGGATCCCTGAGCAAAATGCAATTCAGAGGTAGCTGGCTTATCACCTTCTAGGTGTTTTGGATGAGTACGTCATAGGGCTGAAGGGCAATGAACTATTTTAGAAGCTTATTGCATCTCGTACCACAGGCAGAACCTAATTATATATAGAAATACTACTCTGTCCCCTTTGGGATCATAAGTCATAGTTACTAACTTTATTTATTGGGAAGGTTTGTGCTTTGGAAGTCCTCCATTCAAACACAGGATCATCAATAGGAAAAAGGTATATTGGGGTGAAATAATACCAGATTCTTACCTGTTTCTTGAACATATTGATGGAGTGGAGAAGCTTGATTTATTTCCACAGTGTGTTTTTCAAGATGGGAGACCTGTGTTTAAAGATAATTTTAAATAAATAATTGTTTTTAAGAAGTCAATTATTTCAGTATTGCACACATATTCTTCATTGCACCGTGATTTTCATCCAAGACTTCAGCGCACATTGATTACACTTTGGTCATTTATTTTAATGCATGGGTTCATGCTATAAGAGAACAAATATGAATTGACACCTAAAGTGCACTTATATTTTTAGGGTGCTCATTTTATTTTTCAAAGAATATCATCCCCAAAGTACAGAAAGAGACACTGATGTGTATCGATATTAAATATATAAAAGGACAATAAAAGCAACTGTTTATAACAAGGTCAGAATTTCCACACAGTTCTGCAAACTGTGTGGAAAGTGTTGTCTTTCTAAATAGTTACCATTTCTGTTCCAAGAACATCAATTTTGTGTGCTTTGGAAGTTTCTTGTTCATTTCTTTCCATTTCCTGGCTGTGTCCTGCAATGTCGACCTGGCTGCTACGGATTACCTCCTGAAAATGAATGGATGAATGAATGAATGGACAATGCCTTAAGAAATTCTGAAAAATTTAACTTTTATTTTATTAATGCAATTTCAGTGACAGACGCTTCTGAAAAAAGAAAACCTGTTTCCTCAGTATATTAGTTTACTTGGCTGTTGTAACAATTACCACAAAGTTAATATCTTACAGTTCTGTATGTCAGAAGCCCTGAATGGGTCTTACTGGGTGTTGGCAGCTGTAAGAAGGCATGCATTCCTTTCTGCAGGCTCTAGGAGAGAATCCATTCTCTTGCCTCTTGCAGCTCTAGAGACTGCCCACTTTCATTGGCTCATGGCCCCCCTCCTCTATCAAGTTGAACTTTTTCTCACTCTGCCACCTCTCTGATTTTCTCTTGGGATCCCCTCTTTCACTTTTAAGGACCACTGTGATTACACTGGACTAATCCAGAGTATTCAGGATTATCTCCCTGTCAAAAGGTCAGCTACTTAGCAGCTCTAATTTCATCTGCAACCTTAATTCTTCTTTGCCATGTAACTTAACATATTCACGAATTCTGAGGATTAAGACATAGATAGCCATTATTCTGCCTACTACCCTTAGAAAGCAACAAATGTTAATGAGGCAACTCATACCCAATAGGACAAAGATGAATCTCAAAAAGAAAATGAAATCCCTTGATGAAAAAGAAATATATTTTGTTGCTTATAAGCCAGAGTTTCATTCTACAGAAAGACATTCCCATCTTCAAGGTGGCCTTCTGGTTTGATGACACATCCAGAGTTCAATCAAAGACTATAACCATTAAATATAGCCAATATAAATAGGCCATATTATGCTAGTGTGTCTCTATCTTCACACATGGCGCTACTTCTGATTTTGGTTAAGTTAGCACAGTGATCCTGGCTGAATTGGAGGGTTGAAACTCCTATTAATTTTGGTGATCCAGCCCTGCTGTTACTACACAATGTGATCTGACACAAGTATATGATTGATCGATTGACTGATATGGTGAAGCAGCTGGCATACTGCTAAAAATCTTAACATCATAAAATAAGGCCATAGACAGATGACTCTCCAAGAACACACTTATTTGATCGCCTTTGAGGTTGGGATTTCACTTTACCTTTGATATCTACATGACTAGCAAATACTGTTTTTGAGATGGGATTTAAAAATTTTTGTCTTAGTAGAGAATAGTCAAGTGATCAAAGGGGCATTATTACTATTAATCAAATAGGAGCACTAACTTTTTTTAAAAAAAACAAACATGGAGTTAAATAGTTCTAAGGGATCAAATTCTAAAGCTTTAAACCAAGAATAAGTTTAAAGTTAACTCATGAGATCTTGACTTGTGATTTTTTTTTTTTTTTGCTAGTGGACTTGTAGTGTCTGGCTTATCCCCAGGGGTATCTGGTATACAGGGTTAAAGTTCTGATTAACCAAGTGGCAGTCAGACATTTGCTTAGAGATATACAGTATTATCTGATCTTATTACACTATCTAGGAAGGAGAGTTAAGACAAAAAATTGATACCCTCCCAAAAGTCCTTCAGAGAATTGAAGCCAAAATGTAGGTTTGCACTTTAAAATGTAGATTACATTTCATTGGGTGTGTTAATTAACTAGATGGGAGGAATCCTTTCACAGTGTGTATGTCTATCAAATTATCACTATGTACACTTTAAATATCTTATAATTTTTTCAATTATACCTCAATAAAACTGAAAAATTATAAATTATATCTCATTAAATTAAAGACCGGTGTAATCTTTTCCTAAGCAGAATGGGTTTCTAGCCCTAGTTAATGACCCACATATATCAATAGATATTTATTAACATGCTTTACACATAGTTTATGCTAAGGAAAAGTTTACTTAACGAATGAATGAATAAAATAGCAAATTTCCATTAATAAATGAATTTCATTCAACCTTCTATTTGCCTGAGAATGTCTTAGAACCTGGGGTTAGAACAATGAACAAAATGTGTACTTTATTTTTTCAAGAGGGAGTATAGGAAATAAACAATTCATATTCTTTCCTTTAAGTTCAAAAAATCATAATTCTATATAATAAAAAGTTTTGCATAATCAAGTTTTATTTAAGGGTATTAATAACATTAGGCTGGAGGGAACAATAACTGTCATTGAAGACCACAGACGGAAAAAAATGCATGGGCACAAATAACAACTTTGCATAATAACTGTTTACAACTATGGCAAGTCTTTCCATCTATAGGAATATAATGGGGATATTCTATGGCTTTCTTATGACACACTGAGAAATAGGAAGTACTGATTAAACAGACAGTGAAAGAGCAAAGGACATGGGAACCTGACCAGTACCAAGATCCTTATTGAAAGGCACAATGATCATTACTATAGAATCATGTCTCTGCCTAGAGGCCCAGATGACAAGCTGTGGCCCAGAGACAAGCTTATTTGACCCACTCAATGTTTTTTAAAGTTTTGAACTAATTAAAACCTACAAAAAAGTCAAGATTTCTGCTTATGTTTGAAAATTTTGAAGATCTGGCAATATGCCATATTCCAACATGGCAGTGGCTTGCTGGAACAAAGAAGTGGCCACCTGTCTTAGTTGGGACATATACTTTTCAGTCGGTCACTGTTCCCATCACTCACTAATAGAGTATTTAACACCAAGTTGACATTTTTCAAAAAACCTGCCTATCATCTTTAAATATATTTTCTTGTGGGAGATGACACAGCATAAACAGTAGAAGGATACATAAATTTAATTTAAAGGTATAAGTTTCTACTTGAGCACTATGTGCTATTACTAAATACAACTGTAATTGCTACACTAGTTTGGTATGTCAGTGTCAATGCATCAATTTTACTGCCCCCTGTTTTCTGCAGTTTACGTAACGTCTGTCTTAAAATATTCCAAGATTTTGTTTCCATCATTTACTGTGTTTCGTATTATGCAACTAGTAGAGTTGGATTTTAAATCTGACTTTCATTCTTCCCAATTGTTGGTGTCTATAGAGTGAAGGGTTAGATAAAAGGATGGATCATCATAACGCTCAGGAAGAAATCAAATTACACAAATAAAATGTAATAAAGAATTCCGGCCAGAATACCATATGCAAATTCACATGAAATAGTTCATGAAATTGGTACTTAAAAATTAAATTCAAATATAGATCGGGCTGCAAGAAGAAAAATGCAGTTTTGTTCACAGGTGGATTAACCAAAGTCAGGAATGGGGATAGTACTCACTCCCTCCTTTATATTAGATATGCTATAATCTTGGGTAAGTTACTAAATCACACTTAAACTCTTTTTTTTTTTTTTTTGCGGTATGCGGGCCTCTCACTGTTGTGGCCTCTCCCGTTGCCGAGCAACAGGCTCACGGGCGCAGCCGCTCCGCGGCATGTGGGATCCTCCCGGACCAGGACACGAACCCGTGTCCCCGGCATCGGCAGGCGGACTCTCAACCACTGCGCCACCAGGGAAGCCCCTAAACTCTTTTATTAAATCTCATTCATCCATGAAAAGAAACACAGATGATATACGTGGTCTAATTTTGGAATCTAAAGGAGAAAATGTGGCATGATCACAAAATGTTATAATATTTGCATAGCTCACGTCAATCTGATATCAGCTCACAGATCAGTCAAGTATATTACAAAAGTCTCTGATGGATGTACACTTCTAAGGAGATTTCTCCAGCACAGGAAAGAGTTCACACTCTGCCTACCCAACTTGTCACTGTTATTATCGTTACAGGAAAAGACATTGTACATTTCCACTGATAAAAATGCAAACTCATGCTAGCATAATGAGTAAGGAAAGAAAAGGACAGACTTTTTATGGTGACTCACTATTATTGTGACTCTTAGAAGTATACCCAGTAGAAAAAAGTGTGATGAAAGACTGGCAGAAGAGTAGGTGATTACTGCCTCACTAGAGTGGAAAAAACAGCTCATGCTCAATACCAGTAATTCAGCAATTTTACCCATCACTAACCTCATTCTTAATAAAACTAGGAAGGGTTATGATGTATTAATGTTATGTGCATCGTTGTCAAACTGACAGAAACAATACCAAAAATGTGCTATTTATGTTAGCAAAGATGTCAGTTGATTCAAGGTTTGAAAGAATAATCAGTTCTTTCTTTTAAGTGATGAGCATAAAAATTTGTGGTTGATATATTGTGTTTGTCTAGATTTTGATACGTTTGAATTCAAACATGTTTTCTTTTTGCCCTGAATTTTCTCTTTATGTTTTAAAAATTTACTTTAAAACTTTACAGTAATTTGACGTCCCTAGCATTGGAGCTTCGGGTTAGGACTTTTCCTCATTCACTATACACTTCTGAGTCTTGGCTCAAAATTATTTTCTATTTGAAACCTTTCCTGACTTTTCTATACAGAGTTCCCTATTACTGCTTCTTTTATTGTATTCCTGTACTGTCAGTACACACCTCTATTATCTACCTATCCATTTCACATTCATTATTTGATAATACGACCCTTTCCTTTAACTGAATTCATGCATCCTCAAATCCCAATGTTTAGCTTCCTGGTAGAGAGTAGATGCCCCCCAAAATATCAAGGAGTGAACAGTAATATTATGAGCAAATAGTCAATAGTAATATCATGATCAAATAGTCACTTTTTTCCCAGGAGTGTGAAAATTTTATGATTTTATAAAAATCTAATTTAAAAATTAAAATTCTATTTTTTCCCCACATAATCCTATGATTTTATTTTTTGGTATTTTGGCTGACAATCTTTGACACTGAACATTTTATGATTGGTAGGTGGAATTACTGAAGCTGATGCATATAACAATAACGTGTCAATCACTGACGAAGTATATGAAGAAGAGTTCTCTTGATAACATTGCAAGTGATCAGAACATTTATGGAAGAATGTGGGGCTTCCCTGGTGGCGCAGTGGTTGAGAGTCCGCCTGCCGATGCAGGGGACACGGGTTCGTGCCCCGGTCCAGGAAGATCCCACATGCCGCGGAGCGGCTGGGCCC